TTTTTTCACTCCGCAAAACGTCTGGAAAAAGTTATCGAAATTAATCGTGAAACTAATGTATACAAAAACAAACCACTCCCGTCTAAAACACCCTCGAGCTCCTTATCTATAATAAACGCCCCCCACACTTCTTCAAATGATTGAAGTACTATTAAAAACTTATTAGAAAGCGTGTCGTATCTTTATATGTGAGAGATTTCCCTTGATTTACATAAACTTTAATTTTGATTTTCTCGACTTACACAACGTATTTTTTTGAAAATTACTTCGCCAATGAACTTACTAGATCGATCGTTTTTGAAGCAATTTAAAACATTCGCAGTGCGTATTTTATCAGACCTAAAGATACTCGTCTTCGCCTCGTATCTTTATATCTAATAAAATACTCCTGCTCATGTTTTAAACAGTACTTTAAAACATGAGCAGCAGTGTCTTATCAGATATAAAGACACGAGGCGAAGCCAAGTATCTTTAGGTCTGATAAAACACGCACTGCGAATGTTTTAAATTGCTTCAAAAACGATCGATCTAGTAAGTTCACTGGCGAAGTAATTTTCAAAAAATACGTTGTTAAGTGAAAAAAAATCAAAGTTAAAGTTTATGTAAATCAAGGGAAATCTCTATCACATATAAAGATACGACACGCTTATGATTTTTCTTTGTGTTTTCCTCATAATTATGAGTTCTTGAAAATCTAATAAACATTCTGGGCGTTTTTTAGATCATTTATGTTATCCTTTCATTTCTAGTTGATTTCAGTTTAGTTGTTTTTTGTCACCAGTATAGATATATATGAACAATTCAATTCGAAAACAGTTCATATAGGACATAGACTTCATAATTAATATATCATTGTTGCACTTGTATTGTATAAGGAGCCTATAAGATACAACATTTTGAAATATATTATTAGACAAATAATTATTAAACTTGTGCTCCTCTAGCAATGGTTTAAGAAAGCAAATTAATCATTAGTCACGTATTCACCAAATAGCTATTTACATGGAAAGAATGCCTGATTACATATTTCTATTCTAGTTGTTCTGGCCGACCAGTATATTGATTCGTAATTTTCGACAAATTAAATTGCACAATTTTATTGCCCCAAGCTATGTGGTCGTCTTCGTAAAATATATATGGTTCATTATATGTAAATATGGTTAATTAATGTTGATTCACATTTGTGCAAATGAGGAGCGAAATGTGTTTGGCAGCTGCAATTTTTTTGACATTTATTTTTTTATCTTTCTTCGGTAAAATTATTTTTCAGCCGTTATTTAAGGATATAAATTGACCTGGTTTTCCACGCATATATAGGATTCTCGTATACTATACAATCCCTTGAATTTCGTAAAATTACTTACGATGGGCGGTATATGGAATTGTTTAATTTGGTTACTTAAGTTAGTCAAGTGTTTATTTTTTCATCTTTCTTCAGTAAAATGACTATTATTTTTCAGTCGTTATTTAAGGATAAATTGACATGGTTTTCCATGCATATATAGGAGTCTCGAGTACTAATATCCATTGAATTTCGTAAAATTACTTATGATGGGCGGTATATGAAATTGTTTAATTTGGTTACTTAAGTTAGTCAAGTGTTCATTTTTTCATCTTTCTTCGGTAAAATGAATATTATTTTTCAGTCGTTATTTAAGGATAAATTGACATGGTTTTCCATGCATATATAGGATTCTCGTATACTACAATCCCTTGAATTTCGTAAATTTACTTATGATGGGCGGTATATGAAATTGTTTAATTTGGTTATTTAAGTCGGTCAAGTGTTTTGCCAAAACAACAAATTTTAATAAAATTTACCACCTGACACACTCCCGTCTTCCTAAAGTTGTAAACTGTTTCAAAAGTCATAATAGTTTTGCCAGAATATCGGCGCAATCTCCGCGAACACGCGTTTAATTAGCCTTTCTCGCGATGACGAATATCCTCCATTTTTGGGTGGCATCTAATTCTCGTTAACCTATGCAGACAATTAAAACAATGTGAAAAGCAACTTTTCAAAATAAACTAACCATTTACAAAGCAAATTTATACCATCATTCGTCGAAAAAATTATAAAAAGTCGCTGTTATGTGGACTTATCTCTCAGACTTCGGCTGAAATGCCACCCAAAAATGGCGGCGTGAAAAAGGCTAATTCAGGCGGCATCAGGTATTATGAAATTGTTTAATTTGGTTATTTAAATTGGTCAAGTGTCTTGCCAAAACAACATTGGAAATTTTAATAAGGTTGTAAATTGTTTCAAAATTCATAATAGTTTGACATTTATTCTTTTCATCTTTCTTCATAAAATGACTATTATTTTTCAGTAGTTATTCAAATAAATTGACGTGGTTTCCATGCATATATAGGGTTCCCCTATACTATTATCCCTTGAATTTCGTAAAACTACTTATGATTGGCGGTATATGAAATTGTTTAATTTGGTTATTTAAGTCGGTCAAGTGTTTTGCCAAAACAACATTGGAAATTTTAATAAAATTTACCACCGGACACCCTCCCTCTTCCTAAGGTTGTAAGTTGTTTCAAAAATCATAATAGTTTTGCCAGAATATCGGCGCAACGTTTATAGGCAAAGACGAGTTTAGTTCAGGCGGCATCTGGTATTATGAAATTGTTTAGTAGTTTTCCTCATTATAGTCGTTAATATTCAGAACACGTCAGCACACACATTGTACGCATGCGTCAGAAATATATGTTGAACCGAAGCAAATACTCATTTATACGAAATGTACAAAGACTTTTGTGATCAATAGATTTCATGCTGTAGTATCTCAAGGAAAATCTCAAAAATCCCATTTACTCAATATTTTAGTCACTCTAGAACTAAAATTTTCATCGCACTACATGACTATTCTTCCATTGAATAATTAAATTCAGAATCATTGACCAATCAGGTTGCAAAACAGACAGGCCAACACCAGAGCGTTTTTCGCTGACCAACCAACCGGGGAGGAAAAGGCCCTGGGTACGAGGTTGACCCACTTTGGAAAATAGGAGACCTTAGGATGACCCTCGCACGCGATGTGTTTTAGCCTCATTCCTGTCATGCTTGACCACAAGTAGTTTTTAAAATTCGAAGCAGTGTCGAGAATCTTTTGATTTGCAGTTGCAAACACATTGGGTGCAGGGGTCGTTAAACACGTAAGAGCCTTTCTTCGGAGAAGAGAAATTATTCGTTCATATCTCGCACCTTTAATTTTTTTTAATTTCGAAAACTAAACTTTTGCGCCCGCTCATGAGAAGTGTTGAATTTGGTTATTGCGTACATAATATTAAATTGTATGTACATACTATTAAATTTTATGTACACAATATTAAATTAAATGTACACAATATTAAATTTAATTTATTGAATAACAAGTGTTCACTTTGCATGCCTATATAGGTGTAAACTTCAACTCTTGAAATACCGAAGTTTTGTTTTAAACATCGCCACAACTTCCTCGAGACGCGCTCAGTTTGTTTGACAGCTGCAAGAATATTCTCTCAGTTTAAGAAAGATATTGAGGTGGGAAAAGTTTCTAATTGTTTTGGATAGTTAGGATGTATATTAGTGGAACATTTTATACAATTCAAATCATTATATATAGATAAGGCTAATTTATCTGATGAGTGCCACATCTTGTGGTACAAAATTAATAGTAATAAAGATGCCTAGTGGAATTTGTTGAGTCGTTATATATCGAATCATGACAACAAGACCAGAAAACCTTCAGCTCAAAGGTATGTTTTATATCATCCATATAGATTGCCCATATTCGAAAGCACACGATGAAAGTTTCATGCAATTTATTCTTGTCATCTAACATCTTCTTGATGTTACTTGGACTGCTGACAGCCAATAAACATTTGCAGAAGCTTTTTAGGAAAGATAAAAAAGGTATGTTTTCGACTCTTTAGTGTATCCAGTACCTATATCGTATCCACAACCTTGAAAAAGAATTTACCTCGATCGGTTTGCGTCACTGTTTTATGTTATATCAAAACTACATATTTTGATAGCTGCCTATTATAGAATGATATGACGATTTCACATTTGGCTGTTATCCCATCAGAAACTATATATGAATGTTTAAAATAAATAGCAATCATATATATTCAACAGAATAATAATAATAATAATATCAACATGTAATTGTTCGTATTTCCTAAACGGTTAAATTTTATTAAGTTTTATTAGCAATTTGATATAAGATGATCATATTGTTGCAACTTGTGGAAAAGCCTCACGCTTGTTGGTTTGACGAGACGTTGTGTAACTGCTGGTTCACTCGTTGAATGGCCGCTTAAGTGGTTGTTGGTTGATTGAATCATTTTGCATGGGTAATGGCTTGTTCAATAACTGACTGACTGCTGTAATTATTTTAATAGTTCCAGCTTTGGCATGGCAAGATATTATATCCAACCACAGTGTCCCTTCTGAAATCGACTGTTCATTTAACTGTGGTAATGAGCCAACATGTGCTGGATTTAAATACAAATTTGGTACAAACAGTCCATCAGTGTAAACTGCCAACTCAGCAACACTACTGGCAAGAACAACATGGCAAATCATGATGATCAAGGCTGGGTGTTTTTTATCGATGTTACAAAAAAATTGGTACCTATACTTAAATTATGTGTGATAACTCTTGAAACATTAGCGCGATTCCTTTCCGGATTTTTATCTCCATGACCATGTTTCATTGTTTATATATTTAATTCGTTTTTTTTCTTCAATAAAGCCGTGCAACCAACATGATGTATTTAGTGCGTCACTTAGTATTAGCAAATATACAAAACTTAGAAAAATATTGTTGGTTTGATACAAAGGAGTTACTGTTAACAGCTAACCTAAGTATTACCTAACCTAAAGGTTACTGTAAACCTAACAGCAACTTGGTCTCCTTTAGTCGACTGGCCTAATACACTTTTACTGTATTATACAACAAGCGCTTTATAGTTGAAAATGTATTAATTATAGAAACAGTACAGTACTAAAACTAAGAAAGAAATGACTACAACGCCTGGTATTCCTACAACTGAGAAAGAAATGACTACAACGCCTGGTACTCCTACACCTAAGAAAGAAATTACTACAACGCCTGGTATTCCTACAACTGAGAAAGAAATGACTGCAACGCCTGGTATTCCTACAACTGAGAAAGAAATTACTGCAACGCCTGGTATTCCTACAACTAAGAAAGAAATTACTACAACGCCTGGTATTCCTACAACTAAGAAAGAAATTACTACAACGCCTGGTATTCCTACAACTGAGAAAGAAATTACTGCAACGCCTGGTATTCCTACAACTGAGAAAGAAATTACAACAACGCCTGGTATTCCTACAACTGAGAAAGAAATGACAACAACGCCTGGTATTCCTACAACTAAGAAAGAAATGACTACAACGCCTGGTATTCCTACAACTGAGAAAGAAATGACTGCAATGCCTGGTATTCCTACAACTGTACAAGAAATGACGACAACGCCTGGTATTCCTACAACTAAGAAAGAAATGACTACAACGCCTGGTATTCCTACAACTAAGAAAGAAATGACTACAACGCCTGGTATTCCTACAACTGAGAGAGAAATGACGACAACGCCTGGTATTCCTACAACTGGTAAGTGCAACGCACATTTTAAATGAAATATCTTCATATTTTAGTATTTCGAAATTCGAATTATATATATATATAATTTCGTTTGAATTCATGATTTGTAATGATTCGTTCGGTAATTTGCACTATATTAGAGAGTACAAAAACTCTGAAATCTGAATGGCAGGCGTAGAGCCGTCGTTATGTAACAACAATCCTTTATTACTCAAAGAAAGAAACATTATTTACACATACACCAAATTACGGTACCGGAAGATTTTCTACCTCCCCCGATCCCCTCTAGCGAACAATTTTGGGAAAAGAAATATTAATTAGCGACTGAACTGTTGTCGGCAAATGCGATACTACCCTCTTAATTTCAGTCTCTTCGCTACGGTCCTGGGCAGACGGTATCCACGAAGGATTACTCAAAAGGCAGGTCGTCTGCCATGTAGGGAATGCTGGGATAAGTAAAAATCTATCTTCATAATGATCCATTTCATTTCTTGAAATTTATTTAGTTCTGCCACAACGTAATGAATGCTCCAGCTATTCATGGCTGAATGAAAGCAGCAGAAACCAGAAATATTCAATCAGAGAATACAATTGTGACGACGTTCTTTCTCCAGGATGGTACAGATTTGGAGGAGGAGCTGGGATTAAAATTGCATCATCGTGTGTACCTGAGCACAGATGTGGAACTTATGGCACAGGTTGGATGAATGGTACTCACCCTACAGTTGCTGATGGCAACGTGACCAGGACAGTGTGTTACACCTGGAGCAATGATTGTTGTTATTCGTCAAATAACGTCGAGGTTGTGAATTGTGGACAGTATTATGTTTACAAACTAAGCCTTCCTCGTCCTGGTTGTTATTACAGATATTGTGGATCAGATAATTGATTCAGATTGTTCCACGTACACATTATGATGCATTTACACTACCCACTAGCGGACTAACACTAGACTTCAAAGATTGAACTTTGTTCAATTGACTCAACGTAAATGATCTAGCAAACGTCCACACTCTAACCGATTAACAGACGCCCCAGTCAACTCAGAATCATACAGCAGCCGCCCTTCTCAATGAAGTCCGTTTTATTCTAATAAACGCCCCTACCCGTAGGGAGCGATTAGCAGACATTTAATTAAAAACATTTCTTTATAGTAAATGTGTAACAGCTATGAAAGTTGACGAGTTTTACTTTTTTCACTCTGCAAAACGCCTAGGAAATATTGTCAGAATTAATCGTGAAACTAATGTATGCAAGAACAAACACCCCCGTTCAAAAGACCCTTGAGTTCGTTATCTAATAAACGCCCCCCCCCCCACCCCCCTTCTTCAAATGATTGAAGTACTATTAAAAAACTCATTAGTAATTCATGAGAAAAACACAAAGAAAAAATAATAAGCTTGTCGTGTCTTTATACATGCAGGGTGTATAAAAAAACCTGCAAACCCTTTGAAATACAATGTTTTTAGAATTTGCATGATTCAGAACTAATTGATCCCAAGCGTGCGTAAACACAATAGTCAGTGACCCATTCGCAATCGAACTGATAATTAGTTTTCTGCATTACAAATAACTAATTTGTGTTGTTCTAATTTATATCAACGCGGTTAATTAGAATGTATTTTCAAATCCCAGGAGCAAAATAAGTAGCACAGACATTAGTAGCAGGTTACCCGTAAAGGAGCAACTAGCTCTGTGGGTTAAACCGGTCATGTGACAAAGATTGTAAAATAAAAAAATAAAAATAGACATTGAAATGCTGGTAAGCAGCAGAATTATGCAACTTATAGTGTTTGCAGGTTTTTTTGATACACCCCGTATGTGATAGAGATTTCCCTTGATTTACATAAACTTTAACTTTGATTTTCTCGACTTTTTGAAAATTACTTTGCCAATGAACTTACTTGATCGATCGTCTTTAAGCAATTTAAAACATTCGCAGTGCTGCTCATGTTTTAAGTACTGTTTAAAGTGCATATGACATAAATTTGTTTATTTTCTTAAATAAAAGAACTCTTTAAGCTGCAGTGTAACTTATTTTTCAGTTTCTTGTTTTTATGGTTTGTTCCCGAGATATTTCAATTTGTTTGATATGTAAATGAGTGTGAATATGTCCGCTAATTTATGACGTCACTTTGGTTGCAAGCTCTTTAATTTGGTTGAATATCACTGCTATCATCCAAGATGATAATTTCAAACTTCACTCACTGGTAAATGTGATGAAACACTGGAGAAAAACGTGAATTGATATCTGCAGTTTTTAGAGTTAATAGATTTATAACCAGTGTAAGTTGAGCTTGCAACCAAAGTGACGCCATAAATTAGCGGACATATTCACACTCATTTAAATAATAAAACAAATTGAAATATCTCAGGAACAAACCATAAAAACAAGAAACTGAAAAATAAGTTACACTACAACTTAAAGAGTTCTTTCATTTAAGAAAATAAGAAATTTCATGTCATATACACTTTAATAAACGAGCAAAAGTAGTTTACCACATATGAAGATACGAGGCGAAGCTGAGTATCTTTAGGTCTGGTAAAACACGCACTGCGAATGTTTTAAATTGCTTCAAAAACGATAGATCTATTAGTTCATTGGCAAAATATTTTCAAAAAATACGTTTTGTAAGTCTAGAAAATCAAAGTTAAAGTTCATGTAAATCAATTAGGGAAATCTCTATCACATATAAAGATACGACACGCTTATGATTTTTCTTTGTGTTTTCCTCATGAATTATTGAGTTCTTGAAAATCTAATAAACATTCTGGGCGTTTTTTAGATCATTTATGTTATCCTTTAATTTCTAGTTGATTTCAGTTTTGTTGTTTTTTTGTCACCAGTATATAGAGATATATGAACAGTTCAAATCGAAAACAGTTCATAGGACATAGACTTCATAATTAATATATCATTGTTGCACGTGTATTGTAGTATAGGGAGCCTATATAAGATACACCAATTTTTAAATATATTAAACAAATAATTATTAAACTTGTGATCCTCTATAGCAATAGTTTAAGAAAGCAAATTAGCCATTATAGTCCCGTATTCACCAAATAGCTATTTACATGGAAAGAATGTTTGATTACATTTTTCTATTCTAGTTATTCTGGACCAGTATATTGAGTCGTAATTTTCGACAAATTAAATTGCACAATTTTATCGCCCCAAGGTATATTGGTCGTCTTCGTAAAATATATATGGTTCATTATATGTAAATATGGTTCATTAATGATGAGTCACATTTGTCCAAATGAGCGAAATGTGTTTGGGCTGCAATTTTTTGACATTTATTTTTTTTAATTTTCTTCGGTAAAATTATTTTTCAGCCGTTATTTAAGGATATAAATTGACATGGCTTACCATGCATATTCTCGTAAACTACAATCCCTTGAATTTCGTAAAATTACTTATGATGGGCGGTATATGAAATTGTTTCATTTGGTTATTGGCAGTGTCACGGTTCTACTGCGCATCTAAAATATGCGCGAACTTGAAAAACTGTCTGCCAACAATTAATCAAGTTAGGAGTGAAACACGATATACTATTTATAATCCCTTCGTTACGCAGGACATCCTTGCTTTGTTTTAAAATTGAAGGCTGCTGCATATTTTCCAATCATGTAGCATTAATTTTAAACTTTTCTTTGCGCCATTTATTTTAGCCAATCAGCGCTGTGACACTGCCCCTTTAAGTTCCCCGATATCATGTTCAACATTCGAAATAAATCTGGTATTTCCGCGTACCCATGTATTATTCTCTATTTAATAATGGTTTAAAAATAATATTGTCCACTGCCAATATTCCTTGTAAGTCAAAACACTTATCCCGACTGATTTAAATACAAAACAGGATAAAGCAGAATTAACAAAATGAAAGAAATTCTTGCTCTTTCACCTTTTGAATCTCAAGAATGTTGATATTAATATGTTTCTTTGCAATGCCAATGTTTAAAGTGACGATGTGTATAGTTTATACAATGGCGAATGAACGATGTGGTCGAGAAAATATGAATCGTCAAAGCATTGTTTCTGCATAAACATGCTGAAGCAAAATCGATTGCCCCCTTTCCTTTCAAACCGACCATTGGACGTCGATCGTGATTGTTCCCTTCCTTTTCTTTGTTTGGGCTAGCTGGCATCGCCATAATTTTGGAGCCGTGAAAAATCACTTGATAACGAGCGTGATGCTGGTGCTCGCAATAACCGCGCTATTTGATGAAGGACCTCAAGTGGGTTGCTCAGAATTTCTTGGAATAGAAAACCCATTTCTCAGCTCAACGTCCGCATTTTCAAAACGATTTCCACATCCATTTGAATTGACAGAGTTTGGCATTGAATGTAAATTGTTAATGATGGTAGAAACAATGCTTTGAATATTCATATTTTCTCGACCACATCGTTCATCCGCCATTGTCCAATAGTAGTATAACATTTATACATCATCACTTTACACATTGACATTGCATTTTTCTTGAGATTTAAAAAATCAAACAAGAATTTCTTTTATTTTATTAATTCTGTTTTATCCTATTTTGCATTTAAATCAGGCAAGATAAGTATTTTGACTTACAAGGAATATTGGCAGTACAACATTTTAAACTTTAAAAATGTGCAAGATTGCACACGCTAAGTAATTTTATACCTATACGGAACTTCATTCCTGTAGGTATCAGAGTTCCGTGTTCCGGTTTTACATTGTCATTTCCGTTTCCTCTCGAATATAATTTTTGCATTTCCTCTCGACTTCGATTATTTGAAAATGGGCTTCGATTTATATAAATCCGATTTCGGTGAATGCAACTTCGGATTGTGAATTTTCGACTTCGAATAGTGAAATTTCGGCTATGCAATAGAAACATATTTATTCGTATTTTTGTCCGTAACGGAACGCCATATTGTTTTGACGTTTCAAAATTGTATATCCGGTTGGGATTAGCTCACAGTCGGATCAGAAATGGAAATACTGTGACAAAAGATGCAACTTTGAAGATACAAGCTTGAAAATAACACTGTATTAAAATAGTGTTTTGGATATTGCAACAAGACTATTACGAAGAAGATACGTCTCAAGGGGCCGAAGTTATGTTCGTTGAAAGGCATGGCCGGTATATAATTTACTCAGAAAATTGAGTAATTTGTATGCGGTTTCGAGTGCAATTTGGAATAAACATGCACGAGTGAGTTTTTCAAAGTATTTGAAAAACTCACGAGTGTATGTTTTTCAAATTGCACGAGAAACCATACTGTTATACTTATTAATAATGTACATGAAAAAATTATGCAGTCACTTCCGTAAGTCACATTTAGTAGTTTTGTGATCAATAGATTTCATGCTCTATCTCAAGCAAAATGTCAAAGGTCTTGTTTACTCAATATTTTTAATAATCTTTCTAGAACTCATAAATTGTCTCAATAAATAAATTGTCTATGTCGCTTGAATATCCGAAAATAGAATCTTAATTCGAGTTGCCTTTGCATGCGAGATGTTTAAAATTTGGTTGCTTAGTATATAAGTGTATCTCAGCTTTTTGTATCTTATGTCCTGTCTTCTACATTCAAATGATTCAATGTCTTTTTAAAAATGCTAAACATTGTGTTGTAAATACCTTAGATTTTAAAAACTTCCCAGTAAATAGAATATCCCCTGTATAGATTTGAGTAGTTGCATGGAAGGCTCCACTAAACAAGTTGGTGACTGAGTTGTAGTATTTACATAACTTACATGTACTTGTACTTACGTACTTATAACTGAAGATTCAGTCTATCTACAGTATAATTTAAACGTTGTTTTGCCAAAAACAGTTTCAGAAAACGCACGAAATGCAGTCCTAGGGGTGGAAAGTGCAAGAATTTTTTTTTTGGGGGGGGAGGAATACCCCCAGACCGCCCCTCCTACTACTACGTGCGACCCCACAACAAACTTTTTTCAATTTTGTTTTAAATATCGCCACAACTTTTTTGAGACATCGACGCGCTCAATTCGTCTGGCAGCTGGAAGAACATTCTCTCAGTTTAAGAAAGACATTGAGGTAGGATAAGTTTCTAATTGTTTTGCATAGTTAGGATGTATAGCTATCAGTATTAGTGGAACGTTTTATACAATTGAAATAATTGTTCATATTTTCATCTGCTATATGTATGCATTACGCATTTGAATCTAATATCTTCGTAACTGAGGCAGATTTACACTGCCCAATTTTTGCGTAAAACTGTAAATCAAGCACACAACTTGCCTACGACACACAACGTGGGTTATATATATATATATATATATATATATATATATATATATATATATATATATATATATATATATATATATATATATATATATATATATATATACACGATTCCAGTACAACAGCAAATCAGCGCTTCTTCAAGATTTAAAAAAATGTGACATCACCACAGGGTACGTGACCCCAGCATAGTTTTGACAAAATTTTGCAAAAAACTCGAAAATAATTCGCCTTTTTAACATCCTTAGAATAAACTTTTGCCTTTTTAACATCCTTAGAATAAACTTTTGAAGTTAAAACTTTGAGAGAATGTAGTAAAATTACCAGTGTTTGAAATGATGTAGATTTTATATTGTTTTTGTTTGTAATTTGCGAAATACAGTATTCATACTCTAGTAAACGTTGTAATAAATTTCCGTAAAAAGTCTTGCCAACCTTGTCATAATAATAAACTGAGTAGACTCGATGCATGCCCGAGCGCCACGCGCGAGGGTAAAAATTTCAACACGCACTTTTGGGCAGCCTATGGTGTAGCGACAAATATATTTTAAGATTAAAGAATTATTTAAGCTCTATCGTATATATTGGTATTGAGCACTCTTCGTTCAATTACGGACAACAAGAATTAATTATTTATATATATATATATATATATATATATATATATATATATATATATATATATATATATATATATATATATATATATATATATATATATGTAACTATATTTTAAGTTTAAATATTTTATATATATTAAATATACTATATTTTATGTAACTATAATTTATGTTGTGACTATATTTTAAGTTAAGAAATTAAATTACTTGCCCTACGTTATTAAATGGTATTGAGCACTCTTTCTACACTGTAAAATTTGATCATCTTTGGTCTCATTAATATTATACATATATATATATATATATATATATATATATATATATATATATATATATATATATATATATATATATATATATATATATATATATATATACAGGGTGTATCAAAAAAGACTGAACAGATTTGAAATTGCTCTCAATTTCGCAAAACACCTATTTGCATCCGGTTTTTTATATATATAGCTTCTTTGGGTACTTATAATGTAGATTAATGAAAAAAATTTCTCAAACTCAAATTTTGTGAACCAGGGGGTGTGTCTTTTCCAACAAACTAAAAATGGCTCGCGCACAAAATTTAAAAGTTGTAATCATATTTTGAGTTAATAGATGGAAACTTTGTCGGGTTTTTAATTACTGTACAAAATTTCAGACAATTT